GACAAATATTTCCAATTTGAGAAAGAAAGGTCAAATAATTTCCACCTCCAGACTCTCATAAGTACCCGGTATTATATTTTATGATAAATATGTTTTGTAGAATAAAATCCGTACTCTAAAAATGGCTTGGTCATTTGGAACCACTTAAAGGTATGATATACAGGTCAATACTTGTCACAACAGCCATTAATGATGAGTTAAATAAAATAAATGATTTTTTTTCATTGTTGTTTTTTTCCCGGTACTGGAAATCAAACTCATGACCTTGTGCTTGCCAGGCAGGTGCTGTGTCACTGAGCTAAATCCCCAGCCTCCATGATTATTACCACTGAAGATGTGTTAGATTCCACGGGGCAACACAATTTTTTATCACTTCAAAGAGAGAAGAATTAATACATAATGTGGATTAGATTTTTTAAAATTATACACTTGTAAGAATGGTAAAACTAAACAGATGAAACAAGACCTAAGAAAAATACAAGGAAGTTTACAATTAAATGTTGAAGCATAAGTAGTAAGTGGAACTAGGGAAAACTATTGAAAGTTATGATAGTTTAAAAATGTTTCACAAGCTAACGCTGCACCTATGCTGAGTCCCGAGAGAATGGCAAGTGTATTATAGGTGCAAGATAACAAGGAAATTGCAGGCAGGATAAAAATATGCTTCAACAGTGCTATGAACTCACTATGTTTATAGGGATATAAAAAGTTTGATCACTATGGAATAAAATATGAAGATCACTAGAAGAAGAAGATGTAGGGAAGACTCTAAAACTAAGAGGTTCTTCATGGGTAATGAATAATACAGCAGGACTGACACTGGTGTGGAGATGCACATGTTTTACTCAGTGGTTGCAGAAGAATTAACCTGACCACTGTGTGAATGCTTTGAGGTGAGAAAGATAAGATTGTCAGGACACCCATCCAGGGACCAGGGGAATCTGGAAAACTTCACGATTGTCTGTGGGGATTCACTGGTATGATTGGGTAAGAGGACAAATTAGAAAAGAATGATTAATGAAAATTCCAGGGTTGAACAAGACTGGGAAGAGTGATGAGCTCAGGAACCATGGGTTAAAGGAGAAGGTAAAAGGCAGAATGTCTGCTCTTTGGAAGATCCTGAGTAGCACAATGCTTTGTTTTGCAAATTTTCTTTTTGGAAACCCTGTTAATAAGCAATAATTAGAGTGCCTTAAAAAGAAGTTATTAGCATGGCTCTGACTCTGGATGACCTAAACCACCCTGGTGAAATGCACACATTACGAAGCAATGTTTAGAGAAAAGAGGAATATTGAGGTCAGTGCAAACCCCAATATCCACAAACAGGTCATTATCCAAGATCATCTCCAGATCAAAGTGTGAAAATTCACCACGTTCAAATTAGCATGCAAAATAAAGCATCAGCATGAAGCAAATTTATGTGATTATACCATGAATAATTCATTAGCATAAGCAATACAATTAGCTGTTTATAATATAATGATATAACTATGGCATTCATGTACAGTAAGCCTGAACCAAAATGTAGTGATAGCAAGACTGTCTTTGAAAGCAAAAGAAAGCCCCAAATGTCTCACACTCCAAGGTACACAATGACATCTGTTATTTGTGGGACAAAAAAGTCGTAAGTAGATAAAGCAAATTCAGTCTAAAATTGGTGAAGCAAATTGGTGAAACTGCACTTATGAACACCTCATGAAACACTGAATAAAAGCACTTTCATCAGCACTATCATCCAATTGATGTATTTTATAAATACATATCGTCTCATTTAAAAACATAAAATCATGTGGATAAACAGTTAAATTGCTAGCTATACTGAATGAAAAGCATTTGAACTATAGAAAAATCTCTTTTTAAAAACTTTCAGTAGATCAAAATCAGAGGGTTGAATAGACACAGATGATCAATTCTTGGGCTGGATCAACAAGTATAGGGCATCTACCACCTGCTTCAACAGAACCTTTACTTTCCAGAGTAGAGGCTCGATTCATTCCAAATCCTACTGTAGCCATTTTCATGATGAAATTATATCTCCCTCGGACTTTGATTATGTTGGTTTAGGCTGAGATTGCCCACTGATAGACCCCCGTGGGGGTTTCCTTGGGACTTAATTCCTGTGTACTTTTAAAAATGCTGCTATGTTTTCCCACAGAGAAGCCCAGCAGAGTAACATATTTGAGCATAATTTTTTTGTTACTTTAGTGGGTTTTGCTTCAACAACAGTTAATAGACAAAAGTGAAATACGTAGATTGAAAATTGTAAACCAGAGTAATCATTTCTGAATAAGGAAAAATAACACAATGTTCTTATCATGTGTTGTCAGTGATGCATTTTATGGGGAATAGGTAGTGATGTATAAAGCTACTTTAGGTGAAATCATACATCTCAGGCAAAATGTGTGTTTACACTGAGTTTCCCACAAGAGCAGTCTCAGGGTACTCATTATATTTCCCAATCATAGCAGTCAGAGGTACCTTATTGCACATCTCTTACACATTCCATCTCTTACACATTCCACACTCTGTGTGTGTGTGTGTCTGCGAAACGACATTTATGTAGTAGGAACTGTTGGTGTGACAGGCTATTTCTTAATTTTTTTATATTCATAATCCCTTCTAATTTCCACAAAAACTGTCTAAGAAGGACTTTACTTCTTGTAATATAATGGAGAACACAGCCTGCAAAAATCTGTCTGTTGACAAACACAACACTGAATAAAATATCCAAACTCGTGCAAGTGTCCACATTCAAACTGCTGAACAGGCAAGAAAGGTCAAACTAAGCCAGAGCATGAGTTCTGAACGAGGAGCACTGGCTGAACTACAGGTGATTTCCGGAGTCATCTGAAGAGCTTTGATATTTATAGATCACTAGTAATTAGAAGAGATCAAGCCTTGGGCTTCCAAATATGTGCCAGAACTTCAGATAAAGCTAGAATTCCAAAAGGATCCTCAATGAAATGGGGTAGCTAGAAACAAAACAAAATAACTTTATCACATAAAGGCTGTTAGCAAGGAAAATTGATTTTCTTTTTGTCTTGATGTAAAGGGGAAAAAGTAATTTGATACTAATAAGTTTAGCCAAATAGCAAATTATAAAATCAACATGCAAAGATCTCTTTTATTTCTATCCAGTGCTAATGAATTAAAAATTAAAATTAAAATTAAAAATTAAAAATAAATTCTTTTTTTTACAAAAGCATTAAAGAGTAAAATACTAAGAAATAAATTTACCCCGTGAGGTAGACACAGGACTTATGCACTAAAATCCTCAAAATATTACTGAAACTAAAGAAAATATAAATAAATGGCAAAACATCCTATAGTCATTAATTAGAAGATAATTGTATTAAGATGGCAATGCTATCCAAAGTGATTTACATATTAAAATAAAAAGTTGAATGTTAATAGAGCACCATTCACAGTAATCAAATGATAGAAACAACCCAAATGTCTATCAATGGATGAATGGATAAACAACATGTAGCATGCACCTACAACTATGAAAAAGAATGAAGTATCAATACATGCTGCAAAGTAGATGAACATGACCAATGTTATACAAAATGACAGAATTCAGATATCAAGCATCATAGCATTTACATGTCATTAGGAAGAGGCAATAGGGATAGAAAGCATATCAGTGATTGGCAGGAGGTAGCTTGAGAGGGGATTTGGAGTAACTGCTTGCTGCTATATATAGGGCTTTCTCTTGAGGTTATTAAAATGTTTTGGAGTTAGATAGGGGTGATGGTTGTACAATACATGATGAGTACACTAAGTCCACTGAGTACATATTTTAAAGTGTTTTTTTATATTGTGCATCTTTTACCTCAAAAAGAAATCCAAAGAATACCTCTACTAGAAGTTCATAAGTACGTATTGGTTCTTATGTGGGCTTGTATTCTGAATTTATATCACTTCCTGACTTGTGGTATCAGCTGCTGGATAGTATTAAAAAAATGCAAATTTGTGGAGAAACACACTCTCAATCTAGGACTCTGAATAGCCTCACAGAAAAAGTTTCATCAAGCCTGACTTCACATCAATGACAAAAACAGCAAAATGCAATAGGAAATAAAAACATCAAGATCAAGAAAGAACATAAATAGCCAAGAGCAGAATCATATCCATAAAGATCACAGATTTTGAATTATTGAATTTAGAATATAAAAATTAATTATATATCATATGTTTAAGTTAAAGGAATGCATTCATCATTTGATCCAGGAGAAGATTATGGAAATTAGTCAAGTAAAGTTGATAAAAAATAAAAAGATAAAAGGACAAACAGAACATCTTTCAATTAAAAATATAGCAAATTAAAAATTCAATAGAAAGTTTAAATGGCACATTAGACACAGCCAAAGAGAGAATTCACAACTGAAAAATAAAGTAGAAGATATAACTCAAGAATAAGGCCTAAGAAAAGATTTGGAAAACATGAAATAAAGGCTAAGGAACATTGAAGGTGGATGGCCTGGCCTAGCTTACATCTGGTCATAATATCACAAGAAAACACAGAAAATGGAGTAATATCATCATAGGGAGATATAATGACTGAGAATTTTCCAATACCAGTGACAGACTAGAACAGGGATTCACAAGATCTTGCTAAGTCTAGGTAGATAGCAACAACACACTACACATCTGGACATTATTGAAACTGCAACTCACCAAAAACAAAAAATGCACAGATGAAATAACTACTGAGAAACAAGAGCAGATACAATAAAATCCAGAAGGCAATCAAAGCCAGAAGACAATGAAAAATATCTTTAAGCAGCCAAGTGAAATAACTACCAAGAAGTATATACTTAGTGAAATTGAAATAAAGCCATTATAAAACAAACTAAAGCTAAATTTTTAGGCACCAACTTCACTGACGGTGTTATAAAGGTTGTATTACAGGAAAAATTAATATATACTTGAAGCAACATTTATAAAGAACTGTGATTTTGTAAACATCTCAATGATATAGAAATTTTGGTACTTACTGTTTAAGCTAGCAAGTTGAAGTTCAGAGTGTTTTCTGAAATTTACCACTGGTGAATTTTACTACCTTGGTTTCTATGACTCAAAACCTGCATTGTCTTCAGTCAGCTTGGGCTTCTATAAGAGAATACCATAGATTATGTCATTTAAGTAACAAAAATTTATATTTTCATGGTTCTGAAGGCTGGGCAGTGCAACGTAAAGATCTGGCTGACTCAGTTTCCGTTGAAGGCTCTCCTCTTGGCTTGCTGATGGCCACCTTTGTTCCTTCACTTCCCATGGTGCAGAGTGAGGCTGAGGCAGAGGCAGAGAGGCAGAAATAGGGAGGAAGGGAGAAGGGAAAAAGGAGAGGTGAGAGATAGGAGTGGGGGAGAAAGAGAAAGAAAAAGCACCAGAGAGCAGGAAGGAGGGGGAGAGCAAAGAAGGCAGGGAGGGAGAGAGAGAGGGAGACAGAGAGCGAGAGCACAATCTGCTCTCCTCTTTTTGCAAAGGCTACAGCTCTCTTAGATTAAAGCCCAATATTTATGAACTCATTTAAACTTAATTACCTTCTAAACATTCTAGCTTAGTTCACTTTGTATTGCCACAAACTAAGTAATAAAGAAAAGTTTAGTTTGGTTCACAGTTCTGGAGTTACAAGCTAAAGGGGTTGCATCTAATAATGCCCTTCTCTAGCTGAGCTAAGGTGGTGCACGGGATTTGCATAGCAAGAGAGACAGAGATCCTGTGTGTGTGTTTGTGTGTCTCTTCTGACCTCCTACTCCTTGTAAATCCTTTAATCTCAATTATGAGAGTTCGATCCTGATGACCTTATCTACTTCTAATCACCTCCCACAGCCTCACTTCTGAATGGTTAGCAATTACTTGCTCTTTCTTAGTACCTAACTATGAGGATTAAACTCATGAACATGAACGTCGAGGGTAATAAAACCACATACTTAGTTTACCCTACCTTCAAGGACAGTCACATTGAGGATTATAATTTCAACATAGGGACTTAGGTAGACAGGACACAATTAAGTCCATATTACCAGCTTCCAACAAAATAGCTGTGTCTAAGTGGCTGAAATTCCATTTTGAGGAGATCCTGTGACTGAATTTATTCTTTTCCTTGTATATTTAAGGGGGAAATTTGGTGACAGTTTTTCCTACTTGCCACTCCAAATTCCTTCTCAGGCGATGTCTTTCCTGCTCTGTGTCTGGATCATTTTGCTGGCAGGCCACTGGTTGCATCTGGTCCACAGGATGCACTAGATGAACGCAATGAATGGAGTGGATGGGAGAGAAGCTAGGGCGTTTTCTCCCTTCTCTGCTCTTCCCTGGCTTTAGCATTGTAGCCTGGAGAGCTTCTGAACTTCTTTAGAACTATAACTCCAACTGGGCAGTCTTTTCCCGACTATTCCATTCCTCTCTGGGTTCTGGTAAGCCCTTTCTTTGCCTTTCTGCATAAAGCTGGTACTATTTCTAGTTCTTGAGCAACTCCTAAAACTCTGCCCACACCTCTCTAAATAGTTGCACCATCAACATCTTTTTACTTAAACCTTATGAAGGGTGAATTTCAATTCTTACTGGGACCCAGAACCTGACCAGTTCTGCTTAAAGATGATTTTCAATTTAACATTCAAGTGTACAGACTTGCATACCATTCCACATTTGTTTTGCAAAGAAGATGTAGCTAGACATCCATCTAACCAAGAAGGGAAACATGAAAAAAGAACAGGGGGAAATGCTAGGAGGAGTGAAGACGACCTTGGAAGCCTGCATAAAGAAATTACCCCTTATATCTTTAGTAAACCTCCACATTGCCAAAGGTCCCTCACCAGGGAACCGTACAGATAAGTGCCCTTTTGTCATTTTATGAATAAATCGAAGGTCATTACCCAAGTACTGTCCATTCCTTTAATGGAAAGGTTATAAGAGGAGATCATTCATTTTCTTTATGACTCATTCTTTTCCTTTTTTCCCCTCCAGAATGAGAGCAAGTAGAAATTTTTGATACTTAAGTTTAAAACAGGTCATTTCCTTCCAGCTTTGTCAGAGAAGTCTTACTTCCCTAAATTGGGTGATTGGGTGAATTTAGGGAGTTCCTCTAAGTAGTGTAGCTGAGTTTCAAGATTAGTGTCATCCTTTCCTTTCTCAGCGTTGGAATTTTGTGTGGTGAAAGGGGTTGGAATTGCTTTGTACAGAGATAGGTCATGAAAACCCAAAGTCAGTAGGTTGAGTGGGCATTAGGAATCACCTCCAGCACAGAAGCAATACAAATGGACCACAGGCAAGTACAGATTCAGATGATGCGATACTTTTAGGCTTCCGTCAGGAAAGAGGATCTGAAGAGAGGAGTACAAAGATTAAAGAGGGAAAAGAAGCTCCCCGTGATGATAATCTTATTACTGAGACTGAGAACAGTCTGAGAGAGAGTTCTTTTTTCTATACTATGGAATTTCATAAAGTTAAAGAAATGTGGTAAAGGAGAATGGCTTAAATTCATGAATAAATCATACATCTACCTCTATATCTATATAGATATAGAGATAGATAGATATATACATCTATAGATATAGAGATAGATATAGATAGATAGATATATACATATACCCCTTAAATTTTCTAGTGCTGTATTTGACATGTGCTTAAATCATCAGTGTGTGGTAGTGTGTAAGGCCAAAGCAAGAGAGCAATGATCCAGAGAGAGGAAAACACTTATCACTGAGATAAGTTCTTTGCCTCCCCCATTCCTAAAGATACTGGTGACTCAGAAAGGAAGTCAAGCAGCTGGTAGCACTGCTGGGACCTCAGGGTAGGATGTTGCAAGTCTCGCTTGTTGTGTCTTAAACAGCTGGAAGATTGGAGGCCTGACTTCACCACTGTTCTCAGGACAGAATGAATTTTGTTTTCTAACAGATAGACAGTGAATGTCTGTCGACTGATTGCAAATGTATTTCTATGCCTGACTCCTTTATTCCTTTTGGTATCTACACTTACCTTAGAAGTGATGGACAAAAGGAGACTGAGACTGTCCCCTGCCCTGGCCATGCCAGCCTTTCCGGTGTAGTGGGTTAAGTTTAACTTCCACACGAGGGGTCACTCCTGGAGTCGCTCCAGGAGGAGTAAAATGAGGTGAGCTTTGCAGTTGGAGTTTTTCTCTGAAAAAATATTTCATAACTTGCCACTGCAATGCTTTAACAGCACTGAAGTCAAATGGGAGCTTTCCCTATTGAGAAATTCGCAGCAGTTCTCTGTGGCGTGGAGGGCTACCAGCCAGATATACACCTAAAAGCACCCGCTTGCCTGCTCTCTCTCTCCCTGACAGAAAATGATGACACAGGGATAACAAAGAGAAATACCAGGGAATGTCAAGTCAAACAAAGCATAGCTCTTCTCTGGCGGCTTTTTTGACCTTGTTCTAAGGTAAGTCACACCTGCAGGAGGGGCATTCAGGATAAGTGTGTTTGTCATTTGAAGCTTTTATCTGCTCCAGAAGGAACTCTAAATCTTCCTGATGGAGCCACTGACATTTAGTTTGGCACATTTTCAGATACTAGAAAAAGAACCATGACTTGACAGAAAAAGGTATATCAAGTTAATATAAAGCAGAAGAGGCAATTATTTCAAGTCATTTAGAAGATACTGTGCACAGTAATATATAAAGATACAAGTTTTAGGATACTGGAATTTCTATACTTGTTTTGTCAGTGAGTAGCAGGTATATCGAATAAGATCTTATTAGCTTTGCTAAATCTTCTAAGTCAAGTAAGTTTTTTTTCCTTTGCAATATTCAGGGCTTTTGTTTATCTTATTGAGTGTGTGTGTGTGTGTGTGTGTGTGTGTGTGTGTGTGTGTGGTGTTGTTGTTGTTGTTTCTTATGTGGCTTCTGTTTTAAAGTCTCAGAGAGGTCCATATTACATAACAAGCTTAATCACATATGAAGGTATAGGGAGTAATTTTTTAGAGAAGCTTCAGCTTTTGTTTCAGGATAGAGATACATGTTAAATTTGGCACATGTTTATCTTGCTTAATTTCAGCTAACTCCTTTCCAGGGGGAAAAGTACATTTGCTGAATTGAAGGGTGTGTGTGTGTGGCGGGGTGGGGGGGGATGTGGTATATTATTTTACGTGACAAAATAACCCAAGGATCCTTACACTTTAAAATGTAAGGATTCCAGACAGACTGAAGGGGAGACAAAAAAATCTCTAGAATAGATGCACAGCTTGCACTTGATATACGTGCTAAATATTTTGCTTTTTTCTTTGTTTCCAGGGGCAACTAGTTCCACATTCCCACACATTTCCTTGCTGTTCTTCAGCTTGGATGTCTCGCAACGTCTATAGTCTTCACATTCAAGGTGATACCTGATCCCCCCAAGGCTTTGATGGTCACTTCACTCGTCTCTAGACTGGCTCCTCCATCTTGCTACCTTTAAAGATGAAAGACTGGCCCATGAATGAAATTAAAAAGGGAAAGTTCAGTTTTGTAATTCCAACAATGGGACACCTTCCACATTTATTTATTGCTGCCCGAGTACCCACTATTTGAGACAGATTTTTATAAAACAGCTTGATCTCAGAAACGTTAATATGTCATGCTCAGATCATATGGACTCTCTTGAACTCTGATGGCTAAAATGAAAAGACAGGCTACTTTTAGACCTTCTGCTTTCCTTATTAACTTTGACCTTAGCTGTTTCTCAATCAGCTGCATACACATCCATTTCATACACTAGAGGTGTAGAAAATTTCATAAGAAAAGCAACCAGCATAAAAATGACTTTTTAAAGAAAGTTCAGCCACCTCTGTATAGATCGAATAGGACACGTTCAAGTCACTGACTTCATTTATTAAATGCACTTCCCTGATGTGTTAAATAACTCTTTCTCCTAAGTGCAAAGGGTTTGTGCTGCTCTTCCCGCACCCTCCCTTCCCAGCGCCATGATTTATGATGTTCTCCTGACAGGCTTCATATGCCGAGTGCCCATTAGGTAGGAAGATAGTTTTACCTCTGGGTGAGTCCTGAAGTCAGCCTGGGGTGAGCGTTATTATTCAGCAGTCTCTGTGGAAGTTCATGAA